GCTCTTCGAGTAAACTTTGACGAGAGGGTTTAAAGCAAGCATGGGGGCATTTTCGCATTGGTCTAATAGTAGAATAGGATAATCAGTATCTTATGGGTGTTTGTGGTCTAACTGATGCAGAAAATTTAGATACAAGTTGTAGGTCGGTGATGAAACCATTAAGTAGCAATTACGAGTGAATTTTGTTGATCTTTCCATTGGTTTTGCATATTTCTACAATAGAAGTTGTTGGGATACTCAAGAAAATTTTCACTTGGTCATGGATTCCGATTAACCAAGTGAGAAGTGTCTGAAGATAGAGGGACAGAAGAGAACGTGGTCATGCATTCCGATTCTTTATGTAAATTTTTTCTTTGGCGCCATTATTTTCTTGCGTAAAAAACAGATGTCGCTTTTTCTTTTCAATCAGTGGATATGTACTTTCACCTTTTGCTTACCCAGTGCTTGATCGAATGCTTGCGTCTTATTGATCTTTGGTTTTCTTTAGTTAAGTTAATATCAACATAGAACACAAGCATGTGAATTTATACCACTCATTTAATCCATTTATGGGGGTTTTATTTACGAAAACAAAAGCTTCGATCATGGATTTCAAAGGTTCACTGTTTTTTGTTAATAATTTATGTTCACAACTTCAAAAAATGATCACAGAGACCTAGTAAACCTGCGTTGTATCAATAACCTTCTTGTGTATAACTAATTCAAATATCATTAACTGATATTTGAATGTGATTACTCGTGTTAATGAAACCTAGTAAGTCATGGTATTCAATTTCCATTAGAAACTCCCAAGCCTTAGTTACGTCTTGTGTATAACTAGTTCAAATATCATTGACTGATTTTTGAATGTGACAATATTGTATGATTAACAGGGCATTAACTAGGTATATTACATAATTCAAATAAGAATTTTTCAGTTATTTGAATACTAGGTGTGAGCCCCATGTATTACACGGGTTGATTTAAAAAAATATTAAATATTAAAGTGTAAACAAAAAATATTTTTTTAATATGTTTTAATGTAAAACTTTGAAATAAGAAAGAAAGAAACGTACTTATTGCAATTTAATATCATATATATGATATTTAATACTTTACATATATAAGTATATGATTTTAATTTTAAAAATTGAAACAAACCAAAAATTGACAAGTGGATAATATTTATTTCAAAAATACCACAAAATGACAAATGTCAAAACTCATGAGAGATTGACATGTGGCAAAAAAAAACCTTCATTTATTAAGGAGGATCTTATCAAGTTGTTAACTCTTGTACCTATTACAAACTCATTAATTTTGGAGCATCAGGTCAGGATAACAATTTATCTACATATGGGACATGTGTTTTCTTCATTCAAATAAGAATTAAGCCAAGATTATTTAAAGTCACACCAAAGAAGTCATACAAATAGAAAATGTAATTGCTATGAGAAAAAACTGTTTGAATTTAAAACACAGAAGAAGAGAAAGTGAACATATAGAAGTAATTTATGGAAACAATGAAATCCCCTTCCTTAGGTCCTAATCATATTACATGATTGATGATTCATTGCTTACAATGAAATCATTAACAAAATTACAACTCTAGCCCGACTTTCGAGGATCAAAAAAACATTAATATCTTGATTACAAATAAAACACACGTACTTGGTCGTTTTCTTTCTCCGAGCATATGTTAACGGATGTTTGTGATATGAAACATTCAAGGAGCCCTTGTGCAAAAATGTTTGCATAATAATCGTCTCCATTAATGCAATCAAGGTGAAAAGAATATTTGCACACGCGGCAATGATACATGGGAAACTTGGGGTGCATTTCCATCTCACAAATATCTCAATAGAAACCATCGTGATGATCAATGACTGGGGGATATGTCAATGGGATTTCATGTCTTTTGCAATACCTATGACTAAGGAATTTGGCGATCTCATTGCATAATACATATCTAATATAAAGTTACAAGCATTACAAGCATATCTTAAACCATCAAACCACATGTTGCAAGAGTTACAAAGAGGATCCGGATCGATAACTTGTTTAAGAGGATGTTTGTGGGATTTATGTTTGATGGTTTTGGGTGGAAATGCACAGTTGACATCGAGGTTGAACTCAGAAGTTTCACATCTATATAAAAACATGTTGTCATAGCTACAACAACCTTTTCATGTATAGTAGTTGTCCTCATGTGTTTATCAAGTCAAGCGAATGAGCTTAGTATCGAGGGGTAGCTAATGTAGTTGCCGAAACTGCTTAGCTTCGAAATCTCTTCTTGAACTTTTGTGCCCTCTAACTCAATCTACAGCTGTGTTTTTGTGATAATTTGAGTGTCGTGTACTTAGCTTCTAACCCAATTCAACACCAAAGAACCAAACATGTTGAAATAGACTTACATTTTGTTAGGGAACGCATTGCCATAGGTCAGGTTCGTGTGTTGCATCTTCTGTCGGCTCATCAGTTTGCAAATATCTTCACCAAACGACTACCTACACCACTATTTTTGGATTTCCGTGACAGTTTAAACATTCGGGAACCGTGAAGTGAGGGGGAGTGTTAATGTATTTATTTATATATTGTATTTTGTATATATACCGATGAGAATACAATGCAACCCTAAGGGGGATTATTTTTACAAACATGAAGTTCGTTGCTATTTAGGAGGTCTTGTAGAAGTCAATTTGAACATGTTATACCGGTGCTTCTTGACCAACTGTAGAGTTTGTAGCGGTTTTTGGTTGTTTTGAAGAATCTCTATGCTATCTCTCAAGTTTAGGAAGTTGCTTTGATGATGTTAGTTGGTAGTTCCTCTGGTTATGGACTGAAGGTGCTCCTGATTTGTTTGCCTTTTACAAAGCCATTCTATTTTTTTTGGTGGCCTTTTATATAAGATCGTTGCTATATCTCATGCATGCTGATATAGATTTTAGGGTTTATATATTACATTCAGTTCGGTGTTCTCTTTGCTCTCGTTGGCCTCTTTTTCTTAACATATTGCTTGCCATTTTAGAAAAAAAAAATAAAGATAAATATAATGTTGCTTCAGCACAAAACAAAAAATTGACAACAACTAACCTTGTTTAGTAAGATTCTCGTTTTTGCCCTTTGACCCAAAAACAAACAATGACAATAACCAAGAAAGATGGAAGTAAATAGAGAACAACAGATTTACATGGTTCAGCAAGCTTGCCTACATCCACACCAGAAGAAATAAAACCTTTTGTATTAGGTTAAACAATTGACCTCACTTTTTCCTTTACAATACCTGATGTTCTCTAAACCCCTACCTCTCTTTACTAAATATTACATAATAAAAGATACATGGGCCTTTTAACTTGGGCTAAAACAGTTGGGTTAATTAACTTAAGTTGCTCGGCTGACTCAAGCAAGTTAAGTTGTTGGGCTGACAGCTTACTGGGCTGACTACTTAGACTTGAGCGGACTACTTACATTACTTACATGTAACACATTGAATTTCAACAAAAGACATATATAATGGATTTGATAATGGGTTTTGTCATAAGTTTTATTTGTTTATTCTTTTGGAGAAAAGCTTTACAGATAGATTAATTTAAAAAAATGTTGGACAAAAATTTAATTGTAATTTTTTAAGGGGAAACGGAAATTATTAAACCTGACAGATGGATTATTTTCTTTATTTCTCCTTGGCGGTATCCATATGACGAACACACACACACTATAGCTTATGCACATTTGGAGGGACTGTCTCTGATTTGCATTCGATCTATGACATGACAGAAAGTAAAGTATTGAAGAAACAACGACAACAGAGCATGGTTTAGTTGATTGAGATCCAAGAGAGTAATATAATTTCAAACTATCAAACCTAAGTGAATTTTGTTAAATCGTCATTTTCGATTCGAGATATATTTGCATTTGATTAGAAGAAGCTTATCTGTTTATTGTTATTATGTGGTTGCGGGATTCATGAATCTGTAATTGGAGTTCTTGACCCGTTTGTCCCCTGGAGGCATCAGCTATAGGATCGTAAAGTCAGGGTTTAACACAGAGTTAGGGGAGCTGCTCGAGTAAACTTTTATGTTCTTTAATGGCGGTTGGTACTTGTTTGTTGAGTAAACAAATAATTCGAATTAAACTTTTTCAGGCAACTGAGGATTAAATATGCATCTATTCTCTCTCTATATAAGAAATTATGGTTGTTATTGCTTACAAAGACAGAAGTGGTTTTCTTCTCTATTTATGGATGTGTGATTTCGTCTTCTCTTCTGCCTGCCAGGTGTTCGATGTAATGCCTGTGGCTTATTGTTCTTTGTTTTTCCTCAGTCAGGTTGCATGTTTCCAATTACATTACAAGAATGTAATGGATCTATTTGAAAAACCTGTTATATATACTGAATCCAGATTGGATGTACTATTGCAAATTGTTATGTGATTTGCAGTGGTTCTTTAAGCCACACTTGGAGAAGGTATACATGTTGAAAATATGTACAAATTTGCTATGATGAGCAAGGAGTTCTTGAATATAGGACAAGAAGAAGAGAATGCCAACATATATATATATATATATATATATATATATATATATATATATATATATATATATATATATATATATAATTTTATTATTTATGGAAACAATGACATGCCCTTCCTTAGTTCCTAATCATATTACATGAATGAGGATTCATTACTTCCTACGTGACACCGATAACAAATATTGAAATTACAGACTCTTGCTCGACATTCGAGGATCAAATAACCATTAACATCTTGATTACAAACAGAACACACATACTTGGGTGTTTTCTTTCTCCGAACAAATGTTAATGGATGTTTGTGATAGGAAACATTCAAGGTGCCTTCTTTGAAAATGTTTGCATAAGCATCGATTTGACTAATGCATTGAAGGTGAAAAGAATTTTTGCAATTTCCACAATAATAGAGGGGTAACTTGGGGTGCATTTCATTCTCACAAATATCACAAAAGAAATCTTCAGGATGATCCATGACTGGGGGATACGTCAATGAAACTTCATGTCCTTTGCAATACCTATGACCAAGGGAATATGGTGACCTCATTGCACAATAAATGCCTAATATAAAGCTACAAGCCTTACAAGAATAGCTTGTACCATTAGACCATAGGTTGCATGCGTTACAAAGAGGTTGAGGATCGATAATTTGCATAAGAGGATGCTTGTGGGATTTATGTTTGATGGTGTTGGGTAGAAATGCACAGTTGACATCGAGATTGAACTCACAAGTTTCACATTTGTATAAAAACGTGTTTCCGTAACTAAAACAACCATTGCATTTATAGTAATTTCTTATGTCCCCATGTGTTTATCAAGGCAAGCGAGTGATCTGGGTGAAGTGGATGTTGTAATTTGAGGGGTAACTTGGCACAATATTTGTGGAGAGTGAATGAACATCCATCTTTGCAGCTATAGTACGGAAGGGAGAGGGGTCGTACACACCCGAAACACACCTCTATTGGATCACTGGAACAAGACATGTTGTTAGCTTGATGTTGAACATGAAGGATTAATGGATGTTCATGACTCCAATGCTGATGCTCAATCACTGTTTTTTCATCATCATCATCATCTTGAGTCATTTTTTCATAATGTTGTAGTTTCAATGGATCTGTAAATTCATCTGACATGGGAAAATGTAGCAAACCATTTTCATCCTCATCAACTGTAGAAGTACTCGGACCATCTCTGAAATCACATATTCTTTTTTAGAAAAATTAAGCATTCACAAACACAAAGAAAAAGAAAACAAGTTTTACCTTTGAATAGAAGGTTGTTCTGCAGTTAAGGCACACCTGATATGGGCAAAATATCTACAATTTGCACAATGATACAACCAGTCATTCCATCGGATGTATATGCTGCAAAACTCACAATAATATGCAAATTTAAAGAATTTTTCTGGAAGCGAATAGACCAGGGCAAGTGGGTGATTATGGTGATTGGGTAGATGGATGGTAGAGGATAAGGAAGCACAAGTCTTGTGGATCCAGAAATCACAACTATCACACTCATAGAATAAGCCTTCATCCTTAGCTTTGCATGCATTACACAACACCGCATTAGGTCTTAATTTGAGGCTTAAAGTATGTTGTGGATGGCCTTCATGTTCAATCTTGATCCTTCCCTCCTCCTTGATAGCATCAACTTCTGCCTTGCGAGCAATCTCAACAAGACAACAATCGATGCAAGCATTAAATCCAATGTTGTACTCAGGTTTGTTATAGAAATAACAAAACCCCCTTTTTCTTTTTTTGTTACGACAAAGATAACAACCCCAAGAGAGGTCTGGTTCAACTCCAAAATCGAATACCCTTAGAGGATGCTTATATAAGGAAGGCAGGTTGATAGCGGGCGCAACTTGTGAGCATTTTGTATGCATAAAATGACGACATTGGATGCAACCATATACAAAGCCACTTAATATAGGGTTTTGACATGCATAGCAACCAATTACACCTGGTTTCTCTTTCTCTTCACCACCACCACCACCATGGCTATCGAAATTAGCACCTAGAATCGTCTCCATGTTGACCAACTTTAATGGATGGCTATGACTAAAATGATTAATCTCTTCCATATCTTCTCTCTCTTTTGTGATATCCATATTCAATGGAAAATGGCAGGCATGTAAACCCTTCGCGTTAAAGAAAATATAAAATGAGGGCCGACGAGGCATTAACGTGTGCACGTGTCAAGAAATATTCAGCTTACCTTTTTTTTTTTTTTTTTTTTTTTTTTTTTTTTTTTTTTAAGATTGCTTTGCTTTCAAGTAGTGTTTTCTTTTTTAAAAATGCTTTCCCTAATATTCTTTTCTCATATTCAAATTTAACATGATGCATCCTATACATGCATCTCTTTTTCCAAATCGAATGTTCTTTCTATATCACACGAAAAGAATTCAATTTCTTTCTTCCATTTTAAGTCATTGAAATATTCTTATGTTTAATCAAATAGTAAAATATAATATATCCTTTAAAACATCTTACCACTGTTTAATTATCATGTAGTGGCTTGGTTAGGGCAGTGGCTCCCTATACCAAACGGTGAACCGTCTTCGTGGGAGCTAGCCAGTAAAAAACTAGAATACCATTTCAAACAATTATAATATGATATGTGTTGGCATAAATATGGTATTAGGGTTTTTATAATAAATTATATTTGATGACTTTGGCTTTAATTATTGATGAATTTATCTTGTTGTATAAGGTAGCTAAGCTTACATGTTAAAGACGATATACAGTCACATCATATCCACAACGACTTAGTTACTATGCCACATCAATTTATTACCTCAAGTGAATATGACTTTCAAAATATATATTGAGCAAGTAGAAAATATATAGATAACACTCGAAATTTAATCACAAATGTAACATCTTATCTTGAATTTCAACACAAGAAAAATATATTTGATTTTATTTGACTTCAATAATGTACTTTCTGAAGTTTTATTTGTTTTTTCTATGGAAAAAAAAACATTGTTAGATAAATTAATGAAAAAATGTTATATAAAGACATTATGTTTTCATTTTTTTTTTGACAATATTTTTTTATGGCTAGTCCTCCAATGGTACCACTCCACGGGCACAAATTCTTATATTTCATACATATATACTAGTGCACTACCAAGAGTTGTGTTAAATTGTAGTCCTTTATGGTTAATATATATATTTGTGTGCGTGTTTTCCAGAGATGACACAGAATGACAGAAACTATTGTAGTTTCCTTAACTTTTAAATCGTTCATTTCCATCATATTGAACAATTCTAGCCTTTTTTAAGGCACCATGAATCACATACTCTGCTATCATCACGTTCTAGGCAATGACATCTCGGTCGGGAATTTTATCAAACATCTGGCATGCGAATTCCATACTTCCTAATCTTAAACCAGCAACCTCCATTGTTGTCTGAGCTACCAAACTGGGTCGTGGATGTCAAAAAAAACAAGTCTTTAAGTCCCCAAGAAAACCCATTTCAGCATAAAAATTTATTAACCCGCTTTGAACATGTGGGTTTTCATCCAACACGTATTTCATTGCAGTCCAATGTTCAGCCAAACCCAAGTCCTTATTCAATAACTGCACATGAGACTTGATCAAGAACGTAAAGGTGTAATTATATCAGGTTTATGAGATTTGATTTTACGATTCTTTTGTAGAAATCGAAGCTATTTTCAGGAGTTGAGCTCTTGAAGTAAACTTTGATTAGAGGGTTTAAATCAAACATGGAGGGATTTTTGCATTCGTCTAATAGTAAAAATAGAATAATCAATATCTTGTGGGTGTTAGCGGAGAATTGATGAAGAAAATTTAGATACAGGTTCTGGGTCGTTGATGAGACCATTAAGTAGCACTTACGAGTGAATTTGGTTGATTTCTCCATTGGTTTTGCATATTTCAACAACAGGAGTTGTTAGGTTTTTCAAGAGAATTTTCACTTGGTCATGGATTCAGATTTTACCAAGAGAGAAGTGTCCGAAGAGAGAGGGAGAGAGGAGAACGTGGTAAGGGCATCAGGTATACTTCCAGATAAGCAAGTGAAAACACCACGGAAGCTTTGGTGTACTACAAACACAGCCAAAGAGAATGGAAAGGAATGAGAAGCAAGAGAAAGAGTGAGTGTACACCGCTTGGCCTCATGTTGTGCAAACTACTACTAACAAAGGGCATGATGCCATGTAAGCATAACGCCACCCCCAACAAGCTGTGCACCATCATGGCATCCATGCCATCTGGCCATATAAAACATACAAAACAGTGTTAAAACCAAAAAAATAAAATAAAAAAATAGTGTCAAATTTAAAATTAGAGTGTTAAAATAAAACATCATGTCTTTAATTTACCTTTGCTTCACTAAAGGAAAACATAATAAGAAAAGTAGAAAGGGATGGCATAAAATTACTTTTATTTCAAGTATAGTTCTTCAAATGCTATTTATAACATTATTTTCTTATACATCTAGTTAAAATTATCAAACATATCTTTTTCGATTGGAAATTTCTTTCTATATCACACAAAGTGAATTGGATTTCTTCATTTTATCTTAATTCGTTAATAACTTTTGTGCTTAATTGAAAATTAAAAGCAAGAATTCGTTTAACATGTCTCACCAATGCTTTTATTATTTTTATTAATTATTAATAATGTTTTCATAAGGACTTGAATGTGTATACAAAATCATACAGAAAAAAGTCACCTAGATAATTTGATTTTAGTGATTTTATTTCAAAAATTACTTTTTCGAATATGACATATATATCTCATCCATAATATGTTGATTTGTGATAGCCTGTAACCAAATTATTGTGTATCACCTAGTAGAAACGAGAGAGATGATTGTAAAGAATCAGAGAGCAGTGTGTTTGATTTTGAATTCAATTGATTCATTGTGAATATCGTTACAAGCAATATATACCGAATGTACAACATGAAATCAGGAACTATAAATGGAAAATACATCTCTAAATATTAAGGAGAAGATTGTGATGCCCATTGATTTGTGACAGCCTGTAACCAAATTATTGTGATTGAAATAATTGGAGTTATTTCAATTTAGTCCCTGAATGGTTTTGATCGGTTGGGTTTTGGATGTGGTTCAAGGGTTGAGACTTAACATTCCCCCTGAGACCAATTTTGGATGAAAGTAGGTTGAAATGTGGTCGAAGCAGCGGTTTGGTGAGTAAGTCAGCGAGTTGATCCTCACCAGAGATGTGAGTAACTTGTAAGGTGTCGGATTGAACTTTTTCTCTCACAAAATGGAAATCTAAAGCTAAGTGTTTCATTCGAGAATTAAAAACAGGATTCGCCGAGTATGTTGTAGCACTTAGATTGTCATATTATATAGTTGGTGTAATGGATTGTGTATAGCCGAGTTCAAATAGTAGAGAGGAGAGCCATGGACCTCAGTTGTTGTGGAAGCAACGACCCTGAATTCTGCCTCAATAGTGCTACGTGAAAGGGTACTTTGTCTCTTTGAGCTCCATGATATAGGATTTGAACCGAGATAAATGATGTAACCAGTGGTACTACGGTAAACATCTTTGTCACCGGCCCAATCTGCATCTGTAAATGCATGTAAATGTAATGGAGAGTCATGTCGTAGGAGAAGGCTTCTATGTAAAGTTCCTTGTAAAAATCTAAGAAGCCTCTTTAAGGCAGTCCAATGTTGAAAACTAAGAGCATGCATAAATTGAGGCAATTTGTTGACAGTAAAAGCAATGTCTGGTCCAGGGCCGTTCCTAACATATTTTGGGCCTAGGGCAGGAGAAAAAAATAGGCCCTTAAAATACACAAATGTCATCAAGTTTTTTATAATAACTTAATAATTGAAAGAAAATTGCTTGTACTATCTTCTGAATATAACAATTTCCATAAAAAATTTGGGCCCCTTTAAAAGATGGGCCCTGGACGGTCGCCCCTATCGCCCACCCTCTGGGACGGGCCTCGTCTGGTCATGTGAGAGACAAGTATTGTAGAGCTCTCACAAGTGTGCGATACTCTGATGGAGAAGGATGTGGGTTACCGCCATGTAAAGTGAGCACATCGGAACAAGAAATTGGGGTGGAAACAGACTTGCAATCACTCATATTAGCTTTATGAAAGATGTCTATTATGTATTTCTTTTGAGAAAGAAAGAGACCATCGGAGTGGGGAAGGACTTCAACACTGAGAAAGAAGGAGAGAGGTCCGAGGTCCTTTAAAGAAAAATTGTGTGCGAGAAGATGAATGAAACGATCAATATGATTTATGAATGGATCGGTAACAATGATATCATCAACATAAACAAGGACATAAATGGGAGATGGGCGGGTGGTGAGAATGAATAAAGAGGGGTCAGGAATTGTAGATTTGAAACCAAGAGAAACGAGGTATGATTTTAACTCATCGTACCATGCACAAGATGCTTGACGAAGACCATTGTGACAACCCGAAATTTCCATTCTGAACAAACCATATCAAGCCAATAGAAGTTAGAGTAGTTACAGGGAAATTTCAGACTTTGGGTATAAGTTAAGTATTTCAGGCTTAACACTTAAGGAGATATCAGGAGAGTGGATGCACTAGGGTTTTGTGCAACACTGTTATTCTAATACTCTATTATATTAGAGTTCATTCCAAGAATAAAATATTTTATTGCCAAAAATCTCAGGACTATATATAGAAATTTGAACCAAATAACTCATTAGTTACATTTCCAATTAGAGAAAAGCCAAATTCTCTCTCACGGATCTTCGGGTTTTTATCCCAAATCGTGAGTACTTCAATCTAGTTGTATTATATAGCTTAGATTGTGCTTAATAACATCAAAATCACGACAGAACATCAAGATCTGTGAGTTTACTCCCCAAGAACATCTTGGAGAGTAAACTCCATTTCAAGAGCCAAATGGTGCCTAGTCCTTCCTTAAGCCATGAAACTAGTTTGGACTGGTACACAAATGAGTTTAGGAACAGAAAACAACCTCAAAACAACAAGATTTGAGAGTTTAACGCCCAAGAACATCTTGGGGAGTAAACTCCATTTTTAAGGGCCAAAAGTGTCCCAATGTCCCTCAAAGCCTTGGAACTCAAACTAGGGACTACCATTACATGTTTAGACATCCAAAACAAATAGAATCAAGGGTTGAAAGTGAGTCTGGGCCGTGAACTCCATATTTGGGTGCCAAAGTGCCCTAA